GGACAGCATCATTTTTAAAAAAAAGAACAGTACAGTACAGAATTTGAAAAGGTACAGTACAGAGGTTCTATATACTCGCACAAAAGTGTCTTGGTGTTTGCTATCAGAATGGGACAGGAGTGGAAAAGAATATCCAAAAAGCAGTTGAGTTATATCAGAAAGCAGCTGAACAAGAATCTGCTGCAGCACAATATGCTCTTGGTTATTGCTATAAGAATGTGACAGGAGTGGAAAAGAATATCCAAAAAGCAGTTGAGCTGTATCAAAAAGCAGCTGAACAAAAATATGCCATGGCACAATATGCTCTTGGTCTTTGCTATGAGTATGGGACAGGAGTAGAAAAGAATATTCAAAAAGTAGTTGAGCTGTATCTAAAAGTAGCTGAACAAGGGGATGCTAATGCACAAAAAAGGCTTAACTTGCTCAAATGATTCTGACAAATTAGAATTATTAAAACATCTGAGAACAACATATTCTTGTATTTACTTTTCTGATGCCTTTGTATTTGCAATATAGACTGTTCCGTAACCACCAGATTTGGTTTCCTTAAATTTATCAAATTCACTATTTATTGTTTTGTATAAAGTTGTCTAATAGTGCCTGTAGACACAAAATTACAATCTTCTATAGTTAGTATGTGGATTTTATCCAAAGAATTTGACATGATGTGATCATGAAAGCAAGCAAAACTTATGAGTTGTATGCCCATTAAAAAGGATGGCTGTAAATATATGGTGCATGAGTTTTATCTAATTGGAATGAATGCAGAAGTGAAAGAAAAAGGAGTTTACTAGAGCAAATTTTTTCCAAGCAAGCTTTTTTTTTCCCCTGCTGCTACTTACCTTCATCATGCTTCTCTTAATTTACGATGCTTCTCCCCCCAACTCCTTTCCACGTGATCCAAATTTGCCAAACCACCAAAAGTTGATCCATTTCCTCTTATATAACCGTTTTCACTCGACCAAACCGTAGTAGCTTTCAACATGTGATTTCCTTCACCCATAATCTCTGCTAGTTTCTTTCCATATACCGCAAATCCAAAAATGTACACGAAACAAAAGATGCCGAACGCTCCATAGTGTAACCCGTATAATATATTGATATATTCGTCTTGTCTCAGTTCGGAACTCAGTCACTCATTCCAGAACTCAGTTGTCTCAGTCCAGAACTGAGACAGATGTACAACATTTGTTTAAATGCGAATCTGATTTTCCACCAGTCTGCGACATTTAGACTTAGTTTTTTCATAAGTACATGTGCTGTTAATATAGACATGTAAAGAAGAGGTATCCTGTTGCGATTGCGCGGAGTTTGGGAAGGTGAAGTGTATGTTTATAAACTGGGTTTTAGCAATAAAAGTGTAGTTGAGGAATTGTTCTTAGTACACACAGGTACGTTGCTACTGATATTGCGCCGAAATACTGTCTATTAATGAGCGAATAAATTATTGAGATTGGAGTAAATAGCTATGTTTAGATAAAATGTTAGTTGTTCAAACGATATATTACCCAAATGCTTCCGTTCAATTTAATTACACTTACACCCACTCCATAGTATTTGAGTAAACAAAAATCCTTCCACCGCCAGAAGTCCGCCCGATGTAACAAAATTTAGGTTTGGAGTTGTAACATAGTTTCCAGACTAGCAGCGATATCGAGCGTAAAAAAAATAAATAGTGCTAAATATGCAGATATTTTGTATATTATTCGAAATAGTTGGCGTCTTTACAATTTGTTAAATCGCTATATTTATTATTGGATAATTAGCTATTATAATTTATGTAACACATCCCGACCTTATAAATAAACTACTTCTGGCAATATGAGATGAGTTGATGTTCGTCTGTGGTGATATTGTTTCATCTGAATTCGTTTTCTCTTTAGGGATAAATAATCTCTGTTTAATACTAAGTATAGATTCGATTCCGTGCGTTAATAATATTACTGGTTATGATTCCGCAATGTCGATTGCAGGATTGATAATGTTATTAAGTGTGGTGCAAATCCTTCTCTTATTTATTAGAACGCCAATTAAATATATTTGATTATTTTTAGCAAATTCTACAATCGAAAATACCAAGTGTCGTGAAAATTGGCAATAAAGTAACAAATGATCTATTATATTTTTATGTTGCTTTGAGTAGTTAAAATTGGTTTGCTCTGATCAGATTTAATGTCATTTGTATTTTACATAAGTTGATTGTAATCGTCGTAATTCAGAAAAGGACAAATAACGGCAAATTTAACATTTTTAATATATGAGCGGTTTACGTTTTAATTACTAGTTATAGTTATGGATCGACCAAAAATTCACTGTCGTTCTTATTCATTATTATTATTATATGGTTTGGTGCAAAAATATTCATACCTCACAATAAAACACTTTTTATTTTATTTTTTTAAAACTAAGGAAGTTTCAGTGTGCCTGGTCAACTGCGTCGACCGGGCGTCGTGTAGTATGTAGTGTTTTAGGGGTGATTTGACACTACGAGAATTATTGGAACGTTATTCGAAAAAAAAGCAGCGAAATCAGTTTTATTTAATTTGAAAATAGTGACGATAATGTTCGCGAGTAAGTTTGAGGCTTCATTTTTTGAAAGGTTTTGCTGCTTGTAGTTGTAGTCGTTGATATTCTACAATGTTATTGTCTGTAATAAACGCATATCTATGTAAAGAAAGTATGTTAAGGTCTTCCATGTAGGACAACGACTTATCACAACATATGCTCGACCAGCGGAAAATATATTATCGTCTAGTGATAGAGTAACGCTCTGTAGTGTAAGCCCTTGTGTTCTGTGGATTGTTAGTGTAAATAAATTTTGTAGGGGAAATTGTGTTCGTGATGCTTTTTGTCCTGTTGCATAGAAGTAAGATGTTTGTTGTGATATCCAGCGGTGGAATATTCCGCTTTGAACACAAAAGGCTACTTGAATTAAAAGCGTGTCTTTGTCAAAATCGGTGATAATTCCGACTGTCCCGTTACATATGCCTTTGTCAATAAGTGTGATACAGTAAGTGTGTTGCTTGGGTACATTACTCTAGCCTCTTGTTGTATACGTATGGATGGTGGTAAATTTGTTCGGAGCTTAAAATCGGGTTGGCTTACGTTGATTAGTTATTTATTGATTTCGCGCCGTTCTTCTGTTTAACCGTTCCGTTTTATAAAAATATTGCCAATTGCGCCATAACTCGGATTTCCTAATTTAGTTACATCAATTTTATAAATGTTATTTATACATTATGTGTATGGTGGCGAATGTTAATTGTACGCAAAAAAAAGGGGCAAGTAAACTGGAGTTAATATGAATAGTGGACGCAAGTTATATATTAAGTTGATAAGACATCACATCATCACTTATTTACTGTTTTTTCTGTCGTTTAGACTTTGGTTGTCATGGTCTGCGTCGTCGATGATGTGTTCGTTAATTATAGACGAGGCTATATTTGTTGATGGAGATTTTGTTCTACTTCTAGTTTGGTGATTTGCTAGAGACTGGGACTGCTTCTTGTCGGGAGATGAAGGTGACGAGCCATGATCTTTGTGTACGGCCGCTATTCGTTTGCTAGCGGCTGGTTTGGTCGTGGGTTTTGTTTTTGTGTTAAAAGTCGTCCATGGATTATAGGAACTGATGTCGTCTGATCTTCAACGTACCAGTAAATTGAACTATTGAGCCCTTTTGATCGACTTACTTAATCTACCCATATTAGGGTGAGTTACTATAATTTCGTTGGTTGGTTGTTCACCTTTTTCATGTATTCTGAAACCATAACGGTTAGCCTTAAGCGGGAGCTGGCGGTTATTGGGGAACCGGCTACTTTTCCAATCCAATAAATCTAGCCATTATTGGTGATAGTGGGCATTCCGATGCGTCTATAGGTAGCAGGAGGTGTGAGATATCGATAAAGTCACTGCTCGCCACCCACGTAGGTAAGGTAAACTTTCCGTGTACTAAATATATTTTATTGCTCTGTAGTATAGAGCCTCTCCGAACGACTGTGCATCGCTTTCGTCTTCGGTTAGTTCTATTTCAGGAATAAAGTATGTGAAATTAATTCGTTGTGGCTCGCCGTCGCATGTTAGGCCCTTTTGTATATGAAAATTGTTAATAATTTCAGCAGTTTCTTCGGCAATGTATACAGTTATTGATGTTGAGGCGGGCATCTTTTCTCAAAGTGCAGAAGTAGTTATGCAGTGTTAATACTATTTGGAGAGATTTATACGTTAATAATAAGTCGTTCGGGTATCGAAGCGTTTTAACATGATTTTGGAGAGTCTATACCTTGATTACGTATCTGTTATATATCATGAATTACTAATCAATAGAAAGCATTTTGTTCATGATTTCGTAAAACAAAAGAAAAATTCCTCTAAAGTATTAGTTCAGAAACTCGGAAATTGTGCATCTGTCATTGTAGTCGTATTATTCAGACGTTGGCGGCGTATAAACTCCACAAACTTAGTTATTGGAAGTTTGTGGGAATCTTTAATGTCAACATATATATGGTGATCATTAAAGTTAGTTATTTGACCTCCGATATCTGCAGATCATGTGATAATACCATTAAGTTGTAAATAAATATTATCAGCCTAGTAGACTTATGTACATTATGCTTATATGAAAAAAATTTCAAACATTGATTATAAATGAAATATCAATGGTATCAGCTTCACTTTTTACTTTCTTGGCAAATATGTTTGGAAAGATCCATGAGAGTGACATGGCTTTTGGTGGTATCAATGTAATTGCTGTTGGCAATCTTGCTCACTTCCTCCAGTTAGAGCATCTCCTGTATTTCACTCATCAGTGTGGCATTTATTTTACCCACTCTTTTTATGACAGCAAGAAGACAACATCAGGACAAGAGTTTCTATGTATGAGATGCTTGAGGAGAGGAAATACATTTGAAACATTTCCCAACACACTTGGGACAAAACACATGTTGTTGGTCTCTGTGCAGTCTGCAATGCTCTTCCTGTAGAAAATTATTGCTTTTTTATCTCAGAAGCAATTGATTTTCAAGATGGCATTCAGATATCATCTAAAGCCTCACAGACTGAATTTAAATTGAAGACCAATTTACCACTAAATGTTTATCTTCAACAAACAGGGAGCACAAGTTATGTTCTTAAATAACTCCCTGATATCTGAAGGAATTTGCAATGAGACAATTGGAGTTGTGACTAGTATAGATAAAAGCATTCCCAAGGTGCTAAAATGGGTCACTTGTGAAACATCATATTTTTATGCATGGACAACATGCTTTATGTACACAATTTCCTCTTCAAAATGCTTTTGCTCTTACTGTTCACAAAACACAAGGCATTACACTTCCACAGATATCACTAGCCCTTGACTTTCAAATATTTGCTCCAGGACAAAGTAAGCACTAGTAGCATTCATCAAGATGCGTTTATAACAGACCCTGATGTTATAAATGAATATAAAAGATTAGAAGAAGTAACATCTCAAAAGCTTCCTATAGTCTAGCAAAATTTACATTTAAATAATTTTTTTTTCAAACTGACTTTGCCCAGAAACTATATATTATAACAACTTATCAAATTTCAATACTAATACAGCAGTTATAAATGGGAGGTTGTGTTAAATGTTACAATTAATAATAAAATTGATAATAAAATTGATTGACTGACTGTGAATGTATCCAAAGTCAAATTTTCCAACTGAAAGTTGACTGATTTTGGGATTTAGTTCTTTCCTACTTCAAACTAAATATTGGTACAATTAATGACTTTCTAAATCTAGGTTCTATACTCACAATCTATAATATTAGTCTCATATATGCTGTCCCTGGATTATTGTTTAACCTTGAGTATTTCTATCAAAATGGGGAATTATCTTATCTAAACTGTTAACAATAATTAAACAATAATCTTGATTGCAAAAGTACTAAATAGAATTAATTGGCAAGAGTTAATTATATTCAACCACTGATGGGAAAGCATTTTACACTTTGCCAAACAATGCAAGTATCTTTTTATCAGGGAATAAACAAAATAATAATTATTATATTTGAATCAGATTTTTATTAGAATTAAGGAACTATCCTAATAGCAATGTCTTGCTGAATTATCTGACTAAAGACTGTTCTCAAGATGATTGTTTTAGCTACTATCTATGACTTATAATTTATAACTAATTATCATTTCACTATATCTTTATATCTTTTCCTCTTTTCTCTTCTTCTCTCTCCACATTCACAATTTTATGAATTCCCTCTCAGCTGTTATTCTTAAACCTATTCCTTTTAAAAAACATAACTTTCTATGGCATATGAATACTTCTTACCTCACAACCCCTCATATTCAAATCAAATATTCCTAACATTCTTTCTTCTCTTCCCTCCACCCTCCTCTTCTGATTGGGACAGATGCAAGCTTGATATAAAAACTATTACAAATCCATCTCCCAATCCTTTTCAAGAAAAACAAAAATCTGCTATCTTCAATATTTCTAACAGAATTAAGAATCTTCAAAATTCTTCTAACCCCAACTCCTCTCTTATTTCAACTTTTAAAACAAAAATTAAGTAAACTTGAACATAAGCAATTAATACCTCCCCCTTAGATCACAAATCAGATATTATGAATCACCCACTAAATATTTTTATCAATGTTTCCATGAAACTCATTCTCAAATGAACATAAACACCCTTTTTATCCCTTCCTCTCCTTCTCCTAACTCTCGACTTAAATTTACTGATAATACTAAGTCTCATTTTGCCTCCTCTCCCCCTTTAACTCCTACTACTCTTTCCTTATATATTCCTAACTCACTCCTCAATCCATATCTGCATTGAATTCACCTATTTCTCATACTGACTTTATGATGCAATCAAATCTGAAGATAATAACTCTGGTCCTGATCTTCCTTACAAATTCTATAAGCTCTTTTCTCCCCAAATTTTTAAAATCCTTATTCCACTCTTTAACTCTAGCTTTCAACTCCTTACATCACCAATCTCTGCCCTATTGTCCTATTTAACAATATCAAACTTTTATCTGCCATCCTTGCAAATTGTTTTTAACCTTAGATATCAACTCATTCCTTACTTTTCCTTCTCCTCCCCCTGATTCCTTTGCTTTCTCTGTTGACTGGTCTAAGGCCTATAATAGAGTTTCACATTCCTGGCCTCTCCTCATCTCTCTTTCCCTTGCTTTCTGTTCATACCATAATTATACTGCCTCTATAAAAATCAACTCTTCTCTTACTCTTTCCTCTTCATTTCCTGTCCTTCAAGGTGTCTCTCAAAGCCCTTTTTATTCAATCTTTCCACTGAACCTCTCTTCAATTTAATATGTTCTATACTCTCTCTTTTTGTTTGTGCCTATGCTGATGATACAATCATAATTGGTTCTTCTCTCTCAATCCTATTAGACTCTGTTTCCCTTTATACAATCTTGGACTCATTAACACTGAAAAATCTTCTCTCTTTCCAATCTCTTTTTCCACTTCCTTCCTCCCTCCACCCAACTCTTCTCCAATTTCCTATCAACTGAGCATTCTAGGCTTCACTTCCCCTATCAATCCCTCAAATACTGATTCTTTATGGAACTCCCTTAATCAAAAAATCAAATCTCAAACTTCCTCTCTATCTTCTCATAACCTCTCCTTTAAAGGAAGAGTTCTCATTACAAAATCTCTCATATTATCAAAAATATGGTACTATACTACTATCTGCCCTCCTTCCATTCATATTATAATTTCTCTTCAATCTACCATCAACAATTTTATATGGTACAATTCAAAGATTTACCCTCATTTTGAGATTACCACACTTCCTGTTAAACAGGGTGGTATCTCTCTCCCTGACATCAAATTAGAACTAAAGATAAAACATGCCAAGCTTATTACCAGAGCTTTTGATAATAACCCTCCCTATTGGATACAAACTTTCAACCAATTTACCATCTCTCATTTTAAGCAATCTCTTTTTTCATGCATTACTAACAAAAAAACTATTAACCTCTACATTGAACCTTTAAGATCATGCCTGAATGCCACCAAATTTATCCAACAAGCTTTTCCATCCATCATCCTCTCCTCTCCTCCACTTCCCACCCTCTGTTCCATTCTTACACACACTCCCTCATCTCCATACACTCCTTATTATCCTTCTCATATTTTCCCTCCTTTAACTTGGCAAGAAATCCACCATAAACACTACCCCCAAAAAATACAAGACCTATTATGGAAAATATCTCATAACTCTCTCTCTGTAGGCATCTCCATTTCTAACATCTCTGCTCATTCCTCTTTCTGTCCTTGGTGCCCACTATTAATAACTCTATCCCTCATCTCTTGCTAATGCTACATCCTTACTATCCTGTATCTGTCATCTTTTTGTCTTGTTCCTTCCTCTTCCCTTTCATCAATAATATCCTCCTCATCCTCTAATAATAATTTAATATTAAGGCATATCATTCATCCTCATACCTTTGGACAATATGAACCTCATATATTGCACCTTTGGCTCCTCCTCACCACCTATTCTCCCTGACATACTCAATCCTTTAAACATATCAATATCTATTCCTCTCCCCCCTCTATTTAAAAGGTCAACCCCCTATTCGACAATCACCTGATTTCAATTTCATTATATCATTGGTAACATCCAATGATTGATTTACAAAAGTAGTAAGGCGTGTAGATAAATTTAGTTAGCATCATGCAGCGAATAAGCGTTTGTTTTTACA